CCCTATGTATAGTCATCAGAGACATCCCTATATGTCCCACAGTCCGTTGTCGTTGTCCCCGTTGTCGCATACAATGTGTGCTTATCATAGGCGTCTCTCTTTTATGGACACTTGAAGGCGCCTCTCTTTGCCATGCCGGCGCCCCTGTTTCTTATGAATGCACCCCCATGGCATTGATCAGTTGCAGTCTTGCAGACCTCTATTGCACGTAGGTGCCCTTCTGTCTCCGAACCGCTCCCCTTTGGCATGCAGACGCCCATCTTTCGTACGGAGGAGCCGCTGTGGTTCTTATTAGAGACGGCATGGTGCTCCCAGACGCAGATGGGGCTGTCGGAGTCGACAGTGTGGGACCTTCAGTCGCTGATGGGTGCCCGCCAGATGTGGACCCTCGGAGACGCCGGTATGGGGCCCTCAGAGATGCCGGTATGTGGCCCTTAGAGACACCGGTGTGGAACCCTCAGATACTTCAGTGTGAAGCCCTTACAACTGCTGGTGTGGAGTTATGAATGCGCTTGCTTAAATCCCTCAGAGGCCGGTAGGTACATGGACATTAGGGCTCAGTGAGAGCTTGTGTGGTGCCTTCAGTGGCCTTGTGGAGCCGTTAGACATCAACATGGTGCTCTCAGGAGCCGGTGAGTCCTCAGAGTCACCGGTGTGGGGCCTTCAGAGCTCCGAGACACTGGTGTGGGGCCCTCAGAGGTGTCGGTGTGGGTCCTTCAGATGTACAGGTCTCGCGAGATTAAGCGGTAGGTTTTGAACTTTTACATTTCCGGTTATATCTCAGAAACTAATCGATCTACGATGAAGCCATTTTACACGGTCATGGCCGGCTTGTTACCCAACAAGTCGATCGCATCTTCAACACTTAAAAGCTTAAGACGACGAAGATATAGCCTGAAGTACACTAAATTTTCTAGGTGCAAAACCTACCGCTAAAACCCGCGAGACCTGTACCTGTAGAGCCTTGAGATACACAGGTGTGGTGGCCCACAGAGGCGCCGGTGTGGGGCCCCGAGAGCCACCGATGTAGGGCCCTAGGAGACACTAGTATGACCCTCAAAGGCGCCGCTGTGTGGCGCTCATAAACACTGGTGGGGAGCCATCACAGGCGAGTGGAGCCGTTAGAGGCCGGAAAGGGCCCTTAGATGCCTACAAGGAGCCTTCAGAAGCCCTTATGCCACCCTTATGGGGATAAGCGTATCTACTTAGGAGCCCTTGAGGTGCTCTCATGAGCTCTGTGGGGCCTTACCGAGCCGAAATATGGCCACGGTCAGTTGCCGCCGCATGGCTCTTCAGACTATCATTCTCAGGGGCCTCATCTGTCTATGTAGTTTGAATAGAAGGGCCTCTCAGACCATCAGTCTCATGGGCCTCCTCTGGCTAGTATAAATAGAAGGACCTGTTAGACCATCAATCCTAGGGGCCTCCTCTGGTTAGCATAAATGGAAGAGCCTATCAGACCATTAATCTCTGGGGGCTCCTGTGGACAGTATAAATAAAAGGGCCTCTCAGACCATCAGTCTCGGGGGCCTCCCTAGAAAAGTGTAAATGTGGATAGAGGGCCCCCTTAGATTCATTAGGAGTGGACCTCTCTGACTACCAGTCTCAGGGGCCTCTCGTGGCCAGTATGAATATAAGAGCCTCTCAGACCATCGGTCTCAGGGGCCTCTTCTGACTAGTGTGGATAGAGGGCCCTCCCAGACCATCGGTTTCAGGGGCCTCCAGTGGCCAGTTATATGAACAGAGGGGCCTCACAACCATCAGCCTCGGGGACCTCTTCTGACTGGTGTGAATATGAGGGCCTCTCATACCATCAGTCTCAGGGGCCTCTTCTGCCTAGTGTGAATATAAGGGCTTCCCAGGCCATCAGTTTCAGGGGACTCTTCTGACTGGTGCCGGATTGAGGGACCTCCCAGACCGAAAGTTTTGGGGGTCTCCTGTGGCCAGTGTGAATAGAAGGGCCTCTCAGTCAATCAGTCTCATGGGCCTCTTCTGCCTGGTGTGATAATAAGGGCCTATCAGGTCATCAGTCTCAGGGGCCTCCTCTGACTACAGTGTAGATGGATAGGCCTCCCAGACCAGCAGTCTCAGGGGCCTCTTCTGACTTTTGAGGATAGAGGGGCCTCCTCTGACTAGTGAGGGTAGGGGGCCTCGGATAGACCGCCAGTGTCAGGGGCCTATTCTGACTAGTGTGGATGGAGGGGCCTCCCAGACCACCAGTCTCAGACCTCTGACTAGTATGGAAAGAGGGGCCTCCCAGACCGCCAGTGTCAGGGGCCTCCCCAGACCAGTGTGGATATTGGGGCCTCCTCAGATCCACTAGGGTCTCTCAGGCCATCAGTCTCAGGGGCTTCGACTGACAAGTATGTACAGAGGGCCTCTTTGGATCCATCACTGCCCCTTGAGAGTCCGTGCGTGGGGATTCGTGGAACTTATTTTTACCGAGTTTGTTTATTCTGGAAGGTGACGACGTCCTATCAAATCGAGACAAGGGGCCTCGAGTAAAAAGTGGGTGGGCCAAAACACATGGTTGGCCCCCCACCTCGAAAAGTGGGTGGGCACTTGCCCACCTGCCCCCCCCCCTGTTCCTACGCCTATGACTTTTAAAACCAATATAAATCGGGCACTTGCAGAATTCGGTGTTGAAAACCGCGGGCCATGATTTACAACCACAAGTTGCGTACTGTCAATGCTGCTCACCTGGTATTCTCACCTGGTAGGGTTCACCAAGCCTGACAGCCTTAAGGATAGTCAAGGCAAGGGAACCCAGGATCAAAGGATGCGCCAGTTGAGAAGAATTCGCGAGTATAGAGGGGTTACATAGCAACTGGAGTTATAGCATCCACATAAATAGCTCATACGAAAAAATACATGTGAATCAAGAATATTTGACACGAAGTTGCTCATCATCAACTACCCCGCAGGCTGGTACAGTTGGTCACGAATCGCATCGGCCAAGGCCCTCTTAAAGCTAGTTAAGTCAGGTGCGGTCACAACGTTTTCTGGGAGGCCGTTCCAGATGTGTATATGTTACAGTTAGTATGCGAAATCCGTTAGTTTGCAACGCAACTAGTTTCGTTGCAAACTACCTGACCGGCCAGGTAGTTTGCAACGAAACTAGTTCCGTTGCAAACTAACTGACCGTCCAGTTAGTTTGCAAACTAACTAGTTAGGATGCAAACTACCTAGTTACTTTGCAACGAAACTAGGTGTGTTGCAACGGAACTAGTTGTAATGCGAAATCGACGAGGCAGTGGCTCTATTTGTCGGTTATATTCAACTTTTATGTAAATTTTAACAACGGTTGTTAAAACAAAGCTGTGTTTTTCTTAAGGGTGACACTAGACATAAGAGTAGGACGGGTGGTCACATTCATGGATGAAACAGTGAAATAACCAGATTCGACTACATAATGTGACGATCGCTAGCGGATCCAGAGGAGGGGCAGTTTCGAGGGGGCATTTTGCGATTTTGATTTTCTTTTTTTGCGACACACACTAACACGTCACCACCGCCGCCGCACAGAACAGAACTGAACTGTATTGTCCCATGGCCCGTGGTCCGGGGTAAGCGTGCGATCAAGAATCTGTGTCAACGGCCGACTCCTACACTGAAAACAAAATGACACAAAAAACGACTAAAAACGCACAGGCAGAGCGTGTTAACTAGGCTTTCTTGTGTACCCTGCATCGGCCGTTTTCACGACGGAATAGCAGGCATCTATTTAATCCCCATTTAATCCTTTAGTTCCTCAGGAATTTTAGTAGTTCTTTTTAGTAGGTTCCCCAGCTTTCGAATGAATGGTGCGTTAGTTTGCTATTTTTCTATTAAATATCACATCGATTTACTTTATCTAAGGATTTATCACTAATATCAACATAAAGCGTAAGCACAATTATAAAATTATGAAATTATTAAATACTAGTACAATAGTTAAAAAAAGATACTGAGTTGCCAGGCTACAAAGAATATGTTCATTTATGGCGCACGACAGACATTTAGAAAGCAGCGCCCTGTTTTATTGCACGCTGCTAGCCGCTTCCATTGGGTTTTGCAGGCCGACGTCATTGGTCGTTACACGCAGCCCCCTCCAAAGTCATATGGCAGCATGAGCGTGACTTTTCCTACTAGCCCATAGGGTTGCGTGTTAAAATGCGACTTTTCGCGCTCGGTTTTCAAGGTTTCGTAGTGTGGGCATCCACATACAAAGTATGTCAAAAGATAGCTACAACATTTTTATTTCCATTTTTGGGATGAAAAGTTCAAGCCCATCCAACCGTTTTCGAGATATTCGTCCATATATGACCCCATGTTTTTGATACATCGGAAGGTCCTGTGTTCGAATCTCGGACAGACCAAAACTTTTATCGTTAATGTGCGGCAAACCATTGCTGCAAAGTAAAGTAGGGGTGAGCGCGCTGGTGATGGAGGGTTGTAAGTTGGCATACCTGACCTTTGATTCAAGCCGGATTTTGTGACACCAACCTCATTTTCAGGTCAGGTCAGGTCACTGACCTATGACGTCATAAGTGAACCTCTGCACGGTCTCAAAAACGTCGTAACATAGCAACTCCATCAATTCAAGGAGATCTATCACAGGTAGATGAAACTTACAGAACTTATCAAACTCCCTTATTCTCAAAAGTCGTTAACTTCGGATTTCTCCTAAGGGTCACCGAACGTCAGGTCGGTCAGGTGATCTGGCCATTATAAGCCGATGGGGGGGGGGGGATATAGAGACAGTTATTTTGGCGCTGACAGTGATCTTAGACGGAAAAGACACAAATAGACTCAGAAAGACCTGCCAAATTGAATAACGTGCAACTTGACCTCATCATGAGGTAATGACCTGACCTGACCTTGGACGGAGGTCAACATCCTAAATTGACCTCACCCATACAAAAAGCATATCATTCGATGTGGCTGAGCATGACGAACACGATGGTGTCAAAATTGCAGCTCTGATACCATTTTAGGCGACCACCGAACAATCCACTTCCTGATATGCCAATGCTTTTATTATCTAAAGACGATGAACACTGAACATTCTCATATATGCAAACATGCCACCAGAGTAAGTGGTTCCCAATCGTACATACTACACGTTCCACACATCACACTACCGCTCGTAATTGCAATGCAAACAAGCTTTGGCTCGTTGGAAATAAACTTTGGCATTGGAAGATGTCACGGTGTTACACTTAACATTGACCACAATTAGATATCAGGTATCAATATCAGTAACATTCAGCTCATCCTCAACACATAACAATCAGACGGAGAACACTACCTACAGTAAACCTCAAAGAGGTTTTGGCCATGGTAGGCAATGAGGCATAGCTGCGAGCAAGATCTTCGATCTGAGAAAACATGAAGATGAAATTACATGCATCACACTTGCAATAAAAACAAACTCAAGTGATATTTATCTTTGAAAAATCAGGATGAAAGAACATGAACCTATTTGAAAACATAACAAGCATTATCAGAGGAATAATGCATGGTTATTTAAAAGACCTGTTAATATTAAGGTAGTGGACAGGATCTTAGAATGGTCGAGAGATGTTACCTTCAGAAGGGTTTCCTTTCGTGGTCACACATTATTGATGTTAACAAATGAACACCGGGTGGTGCACACCCTGAAAGTCACATTGTCTATGTTGAAAACTAGGCTTCCTTCCTGTTCAGATTAAGACAGTTGATGGCACCTTTGGTTAGCTTTGTTCAAGGAAGCATTCATTTTGCCAGTGTCGGTAGGGCAACCTTGCTACATATAGGAATCTTGAGCCAGGCACAGCATATGTAGTAGTGCATGTCTTGTCCTGAAAAAGGATCAGAGATATATGGCTAAGGAAGTCGTGAATGGAATTGACTCAGGCTGCTCTGAGGATGATTGACCACAAAGACATGGCTATTGCGAAAGCCCTGAAATAACTTATGAACTGGTGTGTTTTGAGTGAAGTGGAATATCAAGAACAGCATTAAAAAAGAAAAAGTAAAAATTGACCTAAAAATTATCTTCCATGTTTAGTTTCAATCACCTAAATCTTACGCGTTTTCATACAAACTTAAAATACCAAGAAATTGTACAATTATCACTAACATGTGGCAACAAATGCTTCTTTCTACTTACTATCCACTTTCATGGATGCAGGATGCATGTGTTTTGATTTCATTATCACAGCAACACAGTTGTACAAGATGCTTACACAAAGTATTATGTTATATGTAGATGTTATTCAGCTGGAGCCTGGGACAGTGGTATTGTATTGTTAAGTTTGTTCAAAACCAATGTCCCAAAATTTGCCAGTTTTGGGTGGGAAGTGACATCCAACTGAAATCAATTTTCCACTTTCATCTCCAATTTTCAAGAACAATTTTTCACTCTGAAATAAAATTTTGGGACACTGTTCACTGTTCATAACACCAGCTCCATTTCTTAGTAATGATAGCTTTCAGAAGACTTTAGTCATCCTTCATCAGCCTGTCAGGGCTCTAAAAATACATACAAACGAGTAGCGACCAACATAGAAAAGACAATACACAAATGTCGTACGAAAGCTGCCATTGCAAATAGATAAAGCCGGTGTACGCAATCTTTGCAATACGATTATACCAAATATGCTCACAGATAAGTCGAAAGGTGTCGCCATGCATCACAATTGATAAAATTCCTTGAAACTTCTTTTTTAACACATTGCTACGCAACAGTGAAAGAATGAGAAAGCATGAGGCTGGCCCACCACCCAGTCAAGGACAGCAGTTTGCAAATTTGTACACAGTTACTCAGAAAGGCCTTTGTACACACAATTCCATGCATAATGAAGAGCCAATTTTTTAATGCACACGATAGTTATTAAATACTTAGCCAGCACAATTTGTAAGTATTTAAATGTAGGGAGAACACCATGGAACCGCGTGAAACCACAGGCCGCCTTGTGTATAAATATGAAGCGCAATGTATTGAAACACGAGCGCCAGCTGCGCCGCGCTTCAGCGCAGCCATATCCTAGGATAATTTTCGGTATATAGTAAAAAACTCCCAGTTCTAGTTGTTTTTCTAGATGATATAGTATAATTCTAGTATATACTAGGAAAAACTTTGGAGTACCCGACTCTTTAGTGCCCTGGTTACACGTATGATGTCACGCGACTTGTGGCCTGTCACGGCTCTTTAATGATCTCCACTAAATGAATGCAACAATGGCCTTTTAAGTTGATCTCTGTGGCCATCTGTTTATGGAGCGACCAATATGAAAGTTGGGTGAATTTACCGGGGTTACATGACTATGAGCAAGCAAATGTGTATCAGGAATGGATTTAGGTGGAGAATTGCGCTGGACCATGAGTGCTCGAACGCTCCCAATTCCACGCCGGTTTGGCTTGGGAGCCGAGACAGACGATGCGGGTCAAGGTCACCGCTGGGGTAACGGTGGATTGGCTGCGCCCGAGCACCCGTAACGCGGCACAATTCTCCATCTATGGATTTTCCTATTCGCTCAGCATTGTGGTAGGCGTTCGTAATAGCATTTACTCTGCTCATGTACCTATCCCCGGTTATTTAAAAGAAGTTTTTGTGGGGGAATATCACGGCTTTAGGTACTCGGTGGCCCTATTCACGACTTTCAAAGAATGCTCCGATAACTAAACACCGCACAGACCTACTGCATTAGTGAATCTGACAGAAGGTCTGTGGAATTACATCCCCCCTCACCACACCCCTAAAAACTCATCCAGTGTCCAAAACCACTTTTATCGACTCGCAAAAAAAAACACACACACACACACATATACACACACAAAGCATGGGGCATGTCAGCTCTCAGTTCATTTATCATTGTCTTTACCATGGTTCAATTGCATTGCGCGATTTAAAGCACGTGAGTGCCTATATACTTATATGTAGAAAATAATATCTACAGCAAAACATCCAAAATTACAAAGGCTACAATGCTTAAAAAGTAGGTTCATCAAGGAAGCCCATTTTTACTTGCGTTGTGTTCCCAACCATGCGATTCCAACGCGGGCTATTCGCAACGTCTGTTAAGGCACGTTAACAACTGACAAGCCGCCACCGCTGCCACTTATTCATAGATGGTTGATATCGCAGCTTGGGCGTCAGCAGCGCGGCCCACAACGCGTCGGCGCCAGCGCACGCAGCTGTTGGCACTCGGCAGTCGGTGTTGCGACTTAACGGCCGGCCGGCCCCATGAAGGAGAAGCTCTTGGTGAAGCTTTGTGATCGCCTCATAGCCGCCTTGGATGTCATCTTTCTTGGCAGATCCATCCGTTCAGATGGTGCGGTGCAGTCTGGATAAAGGACGAAGTCCAACGCCGCTAACCCCGCGACCGCCACCCCACAACGTGGCCGCAGACCGAACGGGCGTGAGGGCCGTAAGGGCCACCCCGCCATCCGGTGGGTGGCTGAGCAGCCGGGCGCAGCGGCGCCTGGGCGGCGGCCGCGCTGAGATAAAGTCCCAAACCGCCATGTCGCCATCACCGCCATCACCATTGCTGCAGCTGTTCCCAACCGCCTCAATCGCCGCCGTTTTGCCAGCAGTCGCGCCGCGGAATGGCAGAAGCTCCAGAGTAGCCTCCAGCGCCCCTCTCCGCACGTGTGCAGGTGCACTGCGCCGCCGCCGGGTCCGACGTCCAGGCAGAACATGATATTTCCATGCTGCTCCGACGGTGGGCTGGTCTTGTTTGGGCGTTCCTCCACTGTGACGTCGGTCACGCCTGCCCCGGCCAGGGCGCAGAGGCCGACGTGTCACCATCCGGTTGCAGTCCTCAGTCGGGTCGCAACGTGTACCTCTTCCGCAGCGTGGAGCGCGCTCCCACTGGGCAGCGATACAGCCAAAAGTAGCATAGCATGCGGGCGGCCAGCGCTGCGCCGGACAGCGGACCCATGCCGGGGGTATGCCGGTCTCGGCCATTAGCGGGGTCGTCGGGGCCGAGGCTGTACATACAGCTGGTGACCGCGTGAGCCGCCAATCGAAGCTCACGGCTTATAAGATCGACGCGGGCATCACACGCCGTCCCGATGGGAGCTCCACGACGCCGCCGCGAACTCCAGCGCGGCTCGCAGCGCGAAGACCAGTACGGACGGCCGGGGCAAACGGCGTGCGGGAGTCGCAGGCGACGTTCTGCGGACAGAAAGGGTTGGGCATAAGCTGGTCGGCAGGACACTCTTGAGCCGAGCCTTTGATGTAATTACAGATGATCCAGAAGCATGCACAAAAATTCATGACACACTATTCTCATTTATGTATTTGCTACATATGATATGATATACCAGCTCATGATCAGTGACGCATTCTGGGCAATATGTTCTAAAGTGAAGTAACTGAAGTTACAGCTAAAAGCTTAAAAAAACAGCTTAAAAAAACACACACACACATTCGATAGCTTATGAGAATAACATGCCTTGTGTGCTTAATGCAGGAAAATATTTTTTCCACTTTTTTAGAAACAGCAAAAGAGTTGTCAACAAGCCATGTCAACTATCTAAACAATTTTTATGGAAACTGCTCTAGCTAGCTTAAAGTTCCACAACGTTTCCGGAGCACCGTACCCAAACTCAGTTCATGTTACAAGAAAAAACAGTAATAATGCCTCCTAATTTTGAATGAAATATAGGTATGGTATGAGTAATTTGATTTGGAAAGCAACAAATTTCCGCACATCATTTTAGCAAAATTACTATTTTCTTCAGCCATCAGGTTACACAAAACTATAGTAAACTTTATGATCTAGTTTACACAAAACCAAAGCCCCGATTTTAACAAATGTAGATAAAATTTAAACAATTTTAAAAAATGTATCGTGGAGAAAATGAAAAGTGTAGATTTGTAAAGCCGGGATATTTCAATTTCACGGATTAGGCACTTAAAGAAATATCTTCACCTTTCTTTGAGCCACCAGCCTTCACCCAAGTTTTACACGAATGTAGTGGAGCAGACAATGTGGCAACTCAAAATTGTGATGGTTTGAGATAATTATGACGGTAAAAGAAAAAGCAACACAAGGTTCCTTACCCTCGTTTTTTCACATGGGTTCAGATGAGGCTTCAACTGTTGCCGACCTGAGGAGCTATAGGGACTTGAGCTTTCCAAAACTCAATTTCTAAGGGCACTGAGCAGTGTTTGGCTTTCACACGAATGCGATAGTAAGTTATATGAAGTTGACAAAGCAAGCAAAGCAAAGCATGATGCCCCGCGCGTCCGCCCGCGACCACGCCCCGCGTCCGACTCCCGACCGCCGCGTGACCCGAGGCGCCCGGCGGTCACGTGACCTACCGGCCGGGACTGCAAACGGCCTTCACCACCATTCTTGTATGACGTCATATCCTACTGAGGTGCTGATTGGTCGGAATTAGATACCTGAAGGTAATTATCTGCCGTAGTTATTTTTGTTTCATTGTTTTGCGTGTTTTCTTATATGAAATGTAATTAAAAAATTTGTCATATTTTAATCACCATTAAAACATAACTGAATAGGTATAAAAGAGAACTCGATATATACTTTCCTTGTTTTTAAGAATTCCGGAATTAGATACCCGAGGGAGCAAAGAGGGAGCAAGTTGCCACGCTGATTTAATACCTCATAGTCGAAAGGTGGGCTACTAGAACCAAAAATTGCTGTGTTTGTAAATAAATAAGTGATTTGAGGGCAAAAAATGCCCGGACTTTAACTTCTAAAATTATTTTGAACATAAAATATTTCAGTTTGAGGGATGTTAAGGCCTCTAAGGGTAGGTACTTTTTAGGTATCAAATAAGTTCCTCTGCGAAAGTTCCGTCGTGAAAACGGCCATCATGCATTTTTTGACCCGTCGCAGACGTGTCAATTTACAAATGTGTTAACCCAGTCGTGTTGTGTCCTAAAACACAATATCATTGTGTCTTCAACACATAAGGCTTGTGTGAATACATTTGCAGAATACAAGGTAAATGTGTTACTATATTTAACACAAATTGCAAGTGAAAGAAGGAAACACGTGGTGATTATGTAGTTTGTTGCCGGGGCGCAGTTGAAGGGACTTTGGCTTTAGCCGGACAGGCTGACTGTCAAAGCCGGGCCCCGAGTGGAATCGGGCGCTCGGGTGCGGTCAGAGCTGAGTACCCGGCCGGCCGACCCATAGGTCAGAGCGCGGTCAGGGCTGAGCACGCGGGCGGCCGACCCATACGAAGCCGCCGACCCATACAGGATCTGACGTTGCGCCCGGTCGGTCACTCCAGGGCCGAGGGGTGAACACGTCACATGGACGGCTCAATTAGTGCACCAAATGACGATGCCCCAATTTGGAGGACTACTGTACAATACAGTTGTCCAGAAAGCCGTGATAAACTTCCAGCCTTTTTTTTTTTTGTTGGGTTAGGCCCTTTCGGTCCATTAAGACCATTTCAGAGCCGGGAGGATAATAGGATATAGGGGGAGACATTGGTCTGGGCAGGCACCCTAGTGAGTCGCCGGGGCTGAGCCCGTCCAGAGGACAGGCCACCCAGCCCCAAGGCACTCACTGCACCCGGCTACGGGGTGCGCTCCCTCAGGAGCAGCGGTGCCGCTCCAAGGGAGCAGCCCGCATGAGATAAAGTTGCCTGTCCAGCCCGGAGGGGGGTTGCGGCTGGGAGGAGAAGGATTTCAGTATCCTGAGGATAGAAGCACGGATAGGTGAACTTCCAGCCTTTATTTATTTATTTGTGTTTGAGGCATTTCGGTCAAAATGACCATTGCATGCCCATGTGTGAACATCAATGTATTCTAATATCGATGAGTATATTTACATATTGTCTAAGTTAGAGTTTGTCGAAAAATCTAATTTCACGAAGGTATGCGAAGAGGAGATCAATCAAGGGTTCTTCAGAATCGCCGAGAACAGAAGCCAATGTGAATTGTATGTTCCTTCGATTGCAATAATCGAGCATCCGTTGTCTTGTATTGTCGAATTTTCTGCAGTCAATAATTATATGTTGAACTGATTGTACGCAGTTACATAGTGAAC